GAGCAGGGCCTCCCTGGATGATCTTAAATTGCGAGGTGGGATGTTGGGGCAGATCCCTTCGGGCAAGCTGGGCCAGAACCGTATAGCGCTTTATAGGTCTATACATTATGTTTTATTTCTCATCACAATGCTTCATTCTTTGTTGTAAGCACACTTATTACTGTGCTTTATTGTGTATTATTTTGATACGTTTGTCCTCACTTGAGGCATTGAATGCTTGCCTTTTTGTGTGTGTAAACTGCCCTGAGTCCCTTTGCGGAGGTGAGGATGGCCTGGAAATAAAGTATTATTATTATTATTATTATTATTATTATTATTATTATTATAGTTATCCCACTCTGTATTAATAGGTTGGTCTTCATTACACTCCTTTGTGGGGGTGCAATGAAGACCAACCTATTAATACAGAGAGGCCACCCTCTCCCCCCAAAGGGACTCAGGGCAGTTTACACACACAAAAAGGCAAGCATTCAATGTCTAAGCAATCACTTTGAAGCGTACTCTACAATGTATTGTCGAAGGCTTTCATGGCTGGAATCACTAGGTTCTTGTGGGGTTTTTAGGGCTATATGGCCATGTTCTAGAGGCATTCTCTCCTGACGTTTCGCCTGCATCTATGGCAAGCATCCTCAGAGGTAGTGAGGTCTGTTGGAACTAGGAAAAAGGGTTTATATATCTGTGGAATGACCAGGCTGAGACAAAGGACTCTTGTCTGCTGGAGCTAGGTGTGAATGCTTCAACTCACCACCTTGATTAGCATACAATCAGCTGACTGTGCCTGGAGCAATCCTTTGTTGAGAGGTATTAGATGTCCCTGTCTGCTTCTTCTCTGTTGTTGTGCTGTTGCAATTTTAGAGTTTTTTTTAATACTGGTTGCCAGATTTTGTTCATTTTCATGGTTTCCTTCTTTCTGTTGAAATTGTCCACATGCATCTTGTGGATTTCAGTGACTTCTCTGTGTAGCCTGACATGGTGGTTGTGAGAGTGGTCCAGCATTTCTGTGTTCTCAAATAAAATGCTGTGTCCAGGTTGGTTCATCAGGTGCTCTGCTATGGCTGATTTCTGTGGTTGGAGTAGTTTGCAGTGCCTTTCATGTTCCTTGATTCGTGTTTGGGCAATGCTGCTGCCTTTGGTGGTCCCTCTGTAGACCTGTCCACAGCTGCATGGTACACGGTAGACTCCTGCAGAAGTGAGAGGATCCCTCTTGTCCTTTGCTGAACGTAGCATTGGTTGGATTTTCTTGGTGGGTCTGGAGATAGTTTGTATGTTGTGTTTCCTCATCAGCTTCCCTATGCGGTCAGTGGTTTGAGGACCTCTGACCTAGGAGGTGTCAACGGACAATTCTGGCTCTTCAGCCTAGAAATGGAGATGAGCACCAACCTCTGGAGTCGGACATGACTAGACTTAATGTCAGGGGAAACCTTTACCTTTAGGCCTCCCCAGATGATCTCAAACTCCGAGGTGGGACGTAGAGGGAGATGCGTTTGGACAGATACGCTGGACTGGAACCGTATAGGGTTTTGTAGGTCAAAACCAGCACCTTGAATTGTGCTTGGAACTGAACTGGCAGCCAGTGGACCTGACACAGCAGGGGGGTGGTGTTCTCCCTGTATGACGCTCCGGTGAGCAATCTGGCTGCCGCTCGCTGGACCAGTTGAAGTTTCCGAACAGTCTTCAAGGGCAACCCCACGTAGCGTGCGTTGCAGTAATCTATTCAGGATGTAACAAGAGCGTGGACCACTGTGGCCAACTCAGTGTTTGTTTCTGTTGAAGTTGCTGCATTATATTTGTGGACATGTATAAGAGCATATGTTTGGATTTCTTAATCATCAGTGATTATTAGTCTTGCATGCTGTCACTTCACAGTGAAAATAGGTAGTCTCAAATTGTTTGAGCAGAAGCCAGAACAGATTTACTGGTCTTGCTTTCACTAGCATGCCACATCCCTCAATTATGAAAGATGCACTGACAGCATAGCTTCCTGGGTTGCTGTAAGTTTTCCACGCTGTCTGGCCATGTTCCAGAAGCATTCTCTCTTGAAGTTTTGCCCACATTTTTGGCAGGCATCCTCAAAGGTTGTGAGGTCTGTTGGAAACTAAGCAAGTGGGGTTTATATATCTGTGAAATAATGTCCAGGGTGGGAGAAAGAAATCTCGTCTGTGTGAGGCAAGTTGAATGTTGCCATTTGCTACCTTGATTAGCATTGAATGGGCTTGTAGCATCAAGGCTTGGCTGCTTCCTGCCTGGCTTCCATTTTTCAGTTCCTGTGTCCTTAATCTTTGCCAGCTTTTAACCAAGTTACTGCAGGCATACAGAAAGGCATATAATTAAATCATATAATTACATATTTATATTACATGTAATATTACAAATAGTATTACAATATAATGGTATAGTACAATATTGTAATATATAATACTGATATTGTACTATGCTAATAATATAATATATTGTATGTGTATATATCTTGTAAGCCGCTCTGAGTCCCCTTTGGGGTGAGAAGGGCGGCATATAAATGTCGTAAATAAAATAATAAATAAAGGTAAGAAGGGGAAAGACAGGACACTATTGTTTATTTTTATTTTTATTTTTTTACACACTTCTAGAAAAATGGAAGTTGGCCATGGCATATCTGAATAGAGAGTCAGTAATATAGAGGAGCTCCATTAGGAATTTAGGTTTACCATGAATAAGGATAGATAAATAGGCTTAAAGGCTTCATAGTGTTTCGGTGCGGGAAGTCATGGTGAAGGGTGCACGGGTGTGGGGATGAGGGTTTATTTTGTTCAGGATAGGGGTTTTGGGATGAGTGTAAGGTCTGTGGTATGTGTGTAAAATGCCATGTGATGATTTACTGAATGTCATGGAAAAAATTCAATACAAAGCTCTGACGGAAAGCAGTGGAAAACAGGCAGAAATGTAGTGTATTAAGATATGTAAATGATAATAATTTGTACTTAATGACAAAATTAACTGATTGACTGAATAAGGTAGATAGGCATGTACACTTCAAAAATATTGGTACCTGATTATATCTGCCATGATTTGCTTTTCTGTTATGTACCATAATCAAAATAAACAGTTTTAACGGAAAAGGGACACTATTGCTTAGAAAACAAAGGCTGAGGATGAAAAAAAAGTGAAAATTAAAGGGAGGGACTAAGGGTTGAAATGTATAGATGTGGCATGCACACCAGTTGTGTAGGTAAGGGAGCCGAAGTCTGTGTTTGCAACAGAATTTGTTTCTATAAGATTTTGTTGTTTTTCAGTCTAAAGCAGGGGTCCTCAAACTAAGGCCTGGGGGCCGGATGTGGCCCTCCAAGATCATTTACCCGGCCTTCGCTCAGGGTCAACCTAAGTCTGAAATGACTTGAAAGCACACAACAACAACCCTATCTCATCAGCCGAAAGCAGGCCCACACTTCCCATTGAAATACTAATAAATTTATATTTGTTAAAATTGTTCTTCATTTTAATTATTGTATTGTTTTAAAGTGGTTTTGCACTACAAATAAGATATGTGCAGTGTGCATAGGAATTTATTTATTTATTTATTTTTCAAATTATAATTCACCTCTCCAACAGTTTGAGGGACTGTGACCTGGCCCTCTGTTTAAAAAGTTGGAGGACCCCTGTTTTAATGGATACTAGCACTTTGTAGTTTGCTCGATCTTTTGTGTCTTGATACTTTCCCAGTGTATTGGTCTTAGAATAAACACTGGGAAGGCTGAGAGACTTGCCCAAAGCTAAGTAGGAACCTGGAAGCGGCTTGACTGTGATCAAGGAGTATGTTGGTTCTGTATTTCCCCAGGTGTGAGTCCTGCAGATAAATCCACTAGGAATATATACCTCGGTTGTATTTAGCTGAGTCTGTAAATTCCTTTTCACCCAAGGATAGGCACATAGTATGTCGGAGAGCAGCTTTGGAGGTCTTTCCACTTGCGCTGCATTTGGTCACTTTCCTAAACTGAGTGTGATGTTTCTGTTAATTCAAATTATTTTTATCGGAATGATTTTGGGTTCCTTGGAGGTAGTCTCCAAAATAGCAACTTACTCTAGATCTAGGCATCCAGGCACATTTTTTTTTGTCCACATTGAGCGTTTTGGCCAATATTTCTGAATGAATTTTGGGAAGGCTCACTTCCCAATAATAATAATAATAATAATAATAATAATAATCCTTTATTTATACCCCGCTAACATCTCCCGAAGGACTCGATGCGGCTTACAAGAGGCCGAGGCCCAACACATCAATAAAACAACAGCATAACAAAATACAACAATAAATAAACTCATAAAACAAGCAATAAACATGAAAACAATAGCAATAAACATTAGACAATATGACACATTTAAAACTTAAGGCCGGGCCAAATGTAATGATTATAAAAAATTTAAAATGCTGGGCATGACTGGTGAAATGGATAGTTTTTGGAGATAAGTGCGGTGTGCAGACAATCGTAAATCTCTAGTAAAGTGCATTTGAGACATGATGCTTGGAATTTCCTATTCTGGGAAGGCACACTGGAACAACCACCTCTTCAAGCTCTTCTTAAAGACTGCCAATGTTGGGGTTTGTCTAATGTCCTTGAGGAGAGAGTTCCAGAGTCGGGGGGCCACCACGGAGAAGGCCCTGTCCCTCGTCCCCACCAAACGCGCTTGCGACGCAGGTGGGATCGTGAGCAGGGCCTCTCCAGATGATTGAAGAGATCGTGTGGGTTCATATACAGAGATGTGGTCACGCAGGTAGGTGGGTCCCAAACCGTTTAGGGCTTTGTAGGTAAGCACCTGCACCTTGAATTGGGACCGGAAAATGAACGGCAGCCAATCAGCCTCACAAAATGAGTTACTGCCAGATTTCAAACCTGATACGGCAGGCATGGAAACCAGATAAGGTTGGATTACAACTCCCAGTGGTCCAGCCAGTATAGCCAGTGATGTAGAGTGATGTACGAGACAAAGACTGGAATACATTCAAATGGTGTGTTTGTTTTCAACAGTGAAAGCAAGTTGAACACATTGGTGCAGAAGCTTCACGACTTCCTGGCTCATTCGTCAGAAGAATCTGAGGACGCAAATTCTCCTCCAAGGTTATCTGAGAGCAAAAACACAGGTAAGTCTTTGTTTTAAGACTGATTAGGTCTGTGGGTCCTGAATAGTTAAATCTGCCATGCCACAGTGTGGAACTATTTAGGGAAACACAGAATGCCATTTTTCTCTTCTTGGTCTTGATAACCATTGAGATGGAAAGCGGGTGACTTCCACATTTTGTGCCCAAGTGAGTCAATTTTTATCTTGTTCCTTAGTATATTGGGAAGTGAAAATATATTCTTGTTTCAGTTAGCTTTCAGTACTTTTGTTGTTCCTTGCATTAGAACTGTGTAACATGCTGTACTGTCTGTCTCCTGGTGCCAGCGTTAACTGCCATGGATTGTGGTGACTGCTGAGAGCCTTTAAAAACGTGTATTTATTTATTTATTGCATTTATATACCACTTTTCTCACTCATGGGGGGACTCAAAGCGGTGTACATCAAGTAATGGCAAGATTCAATGCCAGCATACATAACAAAAACAAAGTGTAATATCCAAAACGATGACCTGTTTATTTATTTTTCTGTCTTAGTCAACTGTGAATCGCACATATGGTATTCCTGCGCCTGCGCAGGCCAGCTTCGGAACCTTCTAGAATCTTAAACATTTTTGCTCCCCTGGTCCCGCCCCCCCCCCCTTCTCAAGTATATAAGGCCCGTGCGCGGGGCCAGGCGTCATTCTCTTTTTTCCGCCGAGTAGGCATTAGCATAGCAAACCTTTATCTTGACCTTTGGCTTTTGACTGGACTGGACTTTGACTACGATCTTCTGACTGGACTGTGCCTCAATATGATTTTCTGGCTCCCCTGACTGTGGACTGAACGACATCTCTACGGACGACCTTAAGATGGCTACCACCTCATTCAAAAAGTGCATTAAATGCCCAAACGTGCTACTGGACACGGATGGGCACGAATTATGCCTTGCGTGCTTGGGGGAAATCCATCTCTCTCAGCCCTGCACGATTTGCGTGGCCTTCACTCCGCAAACGTGGAAAAACAGGGAATCGCGCCTGAAGGCAGCCCTATATGAAAGGGCCCTCCTGCCCCCTCCTGCCCCAAAGCCATCACTGGGGCCTGAACCGATTCTCTTACCTGCCGAGGCTGGGCCAAAAAAGGCCAAGAAGCCGAAGAAAAAGGCCCAAGATGGCCGCATCGAACCTCAGGGCCGGAGTTCATCGAAAAAGGCGGGAAAGTCGACCTCCGATACCCGGCAGCTCTCCCTGCCGATGCAGGCGAATGCAGGCCTCTCCCTCTCACCGGGAGGCATGGCGCCGCCCCATGAGCCCACTACTCAGGGCGTGCAACCGCAGGCTCCGAGCACGGCAGCGGAGGTTTCCCTGACACCTCCGGCATCGGGACTATCTTCTCTGCTTCCAACTGCAACTATCCAGATACAGGATGCGGCCGAGGCTCCCGTCCGCGAGTCTAGGATTCTGTCAGAGTTTTATATTGTTTATTTATTTATTATTATTATTATTGATTTCGTGTACTTCTACCCCGCCCTTCTCAACCCCCGAGGGGGGACTCGGGGCGGCTTACAAAAAGGCACAATTTGATGCCTGCACAGTAATACAGATAAAAATATAGACAGCAATTAAAACAGTTTCGACAGTTAAAACAATCAATATACATCACAATCAATAAAAAAACCAATCTTATGCTCAACGTTTGCAACTCAGAGTCCATAATTTCATTCCACAATTTCCCATTCCTGTCAGTCGTCGTCGTCCTTTATTTATCTATCTGCCAGATTGCCCGAACGCCTGGTCCCAAATCCACGTCTTCAATTTCCTTCTAAAGGAAAGGAGGGATGGCGATGATCTAATTTGCCCGGGGAGTGAATTCCACAGGTGAGGGGCCACCACCGAGAAGGCCCTGCTCCTCGTCCCCGCCAATCTCACTTGTGATAGAGGCGGGGTCAAGAGCAGGGCCTCCCCAGAAGATCTTAAACTCCGAGGTGGGACGTAGAGGGAGATCCGTTCGGACAGGTACGCTGGGCCAGAACCGTAAAGGGTTTTGTAGGTCAAAACCAGCACTTTGAATTGTGCTCGGAACTGGATCGGCAGCCAGTGGAGCTGACACAACAGGGGGTGGTATGCTCCCTGTATGACGCTCCGGTGAGCAACCTGGCTGCCTCCCGCTGGACTAATTGATGTTTCCGAACAGTCTTCAAAGGCAGCCCCACGTAGAGTGCGTTGCAGTAATCTATCCAGGATGTAACAAGAGCGTGGACCACCGTGGCCAGATCCGACTTCCCATTTTTCATTTCTTAAGTGAAAAATGGGTAAGTGATTGTAAGAATCATGTCCAGTCATTGTATGGCCAGCAACAATCAAGCCACCTGTGAAAGCTTTGGTATTACTAATAGAGACTAAGCACATTGTATTACTTTGATGTTGGTTGGATGTTTGAGGTTGGAGTAGAGGTTGGAGGCTGGAGAGAGGTTGGCTGGAGGCTGGAAAGAGACTGGAAAGAAGCTGGAAAGAGGTTTGGAATTGCTGGAGTTCTATAACACTGTTCAACAGAGAAAAAGTTGTGGGCCTGAAAATAGTTGTTCTTTTATGATTTTGGGGTGCTGAAAACGAAAATGACATTTAAAAATGTATATTGGCTCTAGTTTTTATTATATAAGCAATCACGTGATCACGTATGGTTGAAAAAATGCATGTTGCGACTTACACTATGGAAGATTCTAGAATATTCTAGAAAGTTTGATGACGCAGTATTAGTGCCGTGTGCAAAAGCCAGAAAGCCCTCTATAAGGCCAGACTTTTGAACGGTGAGGGTCAGTCAGTTGAAGACTGAGACAGTATCGTTAAACATCGTTTTACATTGTTCTTTTTACTGTAGTTATGCCTCGCACGTGTGTAAATAAAGCACTATGGAAAAAAGAGATCAAGGCCAATGGACTCCGTCAATGCTGTCAGACTCCTGCTGGAGCATTGTAAGAGACAATCCTTTCCTTGAAAACAAAAGAAAAATCAAGAGAAGCAAACAGGATATAAACCAAAGTCACGATTAAAGCGACATTTAAACTTTCAGACTTTTCAACTGCATTAGGCCTACTAATACAGTTTCTTGCTGCACAAACATAAACAATAGACTAATTAAATAAATATTTCTCATGTATAAACTATTGGCAATATAATTTGACTAAAATTTAGTAAATATTCACGGTTTATATACATGCAGTAAGGTTAGGCGCATTATCATAATATTAATGAATTACCTATTGTGGAGAAAATTGAAATAGCTGTTGCATAAAAACCAGAGCCAATTAACACATTTAATTATTATATTTGAATTCAGCATGTTAAATTTATTAAGAAACGGCACATTTCGTTTCCGTAACTGAGAAAAACTGAAAATTTGTAGAACAGTGTAATTCCTCTAGTGTTGTAGGGCGCAGACACTCCATGTCTCATTAAGAACCACATACAATGTTCCACACTGGGCATGCATACTCAGCAGCAGAGTAGCATAGCGCAAGGGCAGATGTCTTCACTGTATCTGGTTGTGATCCCCAGGTTGTGCCAGTCAGCTTTCGTATGATATTGTTTCTAGCACCCACTTTTTGCTTGATGTTCAGGCAATGCTTCTTGTAGGTCAGAGCACGGTCCAGAGTGACTCCCAGGTATTTGGGTGCGCTGCAATGCTCCAGTGGGATTCCTTCCCAGGTAATCATCCTCAGAGCTCAGGATGCTTCTCTGTTCTTGAGATGAAAGGCACATGTCTGTGTTTTAGATGGATTAGGGATCAGCTGGTTTTCCCTGTAATAGGCAGTAAGAGCACCTAGAGCTTCGGAAAGCTTCTGTTCTACCATCTCAAAGCTCCCTGCTTGAGCAGTAATGGCACGATCATCAGCATAGATGAAACTCTCTGTCCCTTCTGGCAGTGGCTGGTCATTTGTGTAAATGTTGAACATGGATGGAGCAAGCATGCTCCCCTGAGGCAGGCCGTTCTTCTGTTTCCGCCATCTGCTTCTCTGGCCCTGGAACTCAACAAAAAAGCTCCTGTTTTGTAGCAGGTTTCCTATGAGGCGGGTGAGGTGGTAGTCCTTTGTGATATTATACATTTTTCTCAGGAGGAGGCGGTGGTTCACAGTATCATAAGCCGCTGACAGGTCTATGAAGACAGCTCCTGTGATCTGCTGCCTTTCAAACCATCTTCTATGTGCTGAGTCAGGTTCAACACTTGCAATGTGCAGCTTTTGCCTTTTCTGAAGCCAGCTTGCTGTGGGATCAGACATGGGTCTATTTTTTCCGCAAGCAAGAGTCATCGCCATCCTGAAGCCAGGCAAAGACCGTAATGACCCAAAAAGCTACAGACCAATCTCCCTGCTGTGCCACCTCTACAAAGTTCTTTTTTGTGGTAATATTAGGTAACTCGGCTTATATTCAGGTCGGCTTATACTCGAGCATATACGGTACATGTTATATATAAATACATATAAATAATGCTGTTATTCGAAAATATGGTTGCCAGGGGTGATAACAGAGATTGCCGCCTGTGTATATTAAAATATTTGTCTTGTGCCTTCAATGAATGAGTCCCCTTCAGGGTGAGAAGGGTAGAATATAAATGCTTTAAATAAATAAATAAATAAAAAGCATCAAATTTTATTTCACCCCTTGCTACATCTGGTCACTCTGCGCTTTGTTTCTTACAGATAACGCTACCATGCCTGGAAATAGTTCACCCCCAGCAGAAAACAGCAAGGAAGAGGTAAGAATAGAATTTTGTAAATGTACTTTATTTACTTTGCATGTAAAAAAAAGTTTGTATGAAGCATCTAGAAATGATTATAACATCTTTCATAATCCCCAGTGTGAACATCCGCTGTAAACCAATGAACTTGAGAGGAAAAAAATTAAATGAGTCATAACATAGAGCAAATAATAACTTTGTTTTGTCTGTGTGTGAGTGAGAAAGGGATAACGAGAATAATAATAATAATAATTAGCTGTCCCCTGCCATGCGTTGCTGTGGGCCAGTCTGGTGATCTGGAAAATAAAGTAATGAGAAAGTGTTGGTTTCTAATATATGTAATTTCTTTATGCTTGTGGGTAAACAGTATTCCTTGCTGTGTCTTTGTCAGTGTTGATGTGGAGAGTGTCTTGTTTGCCTACTCTGGAATATGCAACATATAATTGTCCTTTAAGGGTCCATTTCAAATCTATGATACTATATCTGTGTGTGTGTGAATTATATCTATCTATATCTATGGCTGGATGGCTCTTTGCCAGGAGGACTTTGATTACATTTTCTTGCCCTGATGAAGGGAGTTGGATTGGATGGCCTTAAATATTTTCTGTTGGTCATGGGAGTTCTGTGTGGGAAGTTTGTCCCGATTCTGTTGTTCATGGGGTTCAGAATGCTTTTTAATTGTAGGTGAACTGTGAATCCCAGTGACTACAACTCCCAAATGTCAAGGTCTATTTTCCATAAACTCCATCTGTGTTCATATTTGGGCGTATTGAGTGCTTGTGCCAAGTTTGGTCCAGATCCATCATTGTTTGAGTCCATAGTGTTCTTTGGATGTAGGTGAACTACAACTCCCAAACTCAAGGTCAATGCCCACCAAACCCTTCCAGTATTTTCTGTTGGTCATGGAAGTTCTGTGTGCCAAGTTTGGTTCAATTCCATCGTTGATGGAGTTCAGAATTATCTTTGATTGTAGGTGAACTATAAATCCCAACAACTACAACACCCAAATGACAAAATCATAATTTTTTGAGTGATGGTCACTCCTTGAGTTGTGAGACATTTTGTTGCCACATTTGGTGTGATTTCGTTCATTTATAGTTAAGTGAACTATAAATCCCAGCAGCTACAACACCCAAATGACAAAATCATAATTTTTTGAGTGATGGTCACTCCTTGTGTTGTGAGACGTTTTCTTGCTAAATTTGGTGTGATTTCGTTCATTGGTTCTTTTGTTTTTAAGGAACTCATTATGCACAGAGCATTTATATATATATAGATTGTTATTGCTTTAATGTTTATTGTTTTGCTTTATGAGCTTTATTGTATTTGTTATGCTGTTGTTTTATTGAGGGCCTTGGCCTTTTGTAAGCCGCACCGAGTCCTTCAGGAGATGTTAGCGGGGTATAAATAAAGTTAATAATAATAATAATAATAATAATAATAATTCATTTAAGTCATTGGCGTGCTGGCTGAGCTTAAATTAAGTGATGTTTTCCTGGTCTCTTCAGAGCAGACAAAGTTGCCTTAAATCAGGTTCATGTTTAGCTCTAAAGTTTGCCTTTGTTCCTGAAAGAGTTTGGTCTTGAAAAAGCTCCTGTTTACATGCTTATGCTCTTGACTTCATGGACTTAATGTACCTTGCTATTTTGGACTATTGATCTTTGTATGTTTGGACTATTGCTATTCAAAATGGGAAATGCCCATTTTCCCTTTTGTATACTCTTTTTGTAAATCAACTGCTGTAGTTAGCTACTACTGTGTGGTGGTGGGTGAAAAGGTGTTCTGGACTAGCGTGGAGGGGGGTGAATAAAATAAAATATTTTTCCCCAAAGCATTATGAACGCTAGTTACTCATGAGATGTATGTAACAAAAATAAGTGATGTGCTGAATTTAAGCAATGAATAATACATTACTAGCTGGTGGCGCAGCAGGTTAGACCACTTAGCTGCTGAACTTGTTGACCGAAAGGTCGGCAGTTCGAATCCGGGGAGCGGCGTGAGCTCCTGCTGTTATGCCCAGCTTCTGCCAACCTAGCAGTTTGAAAGTCCAGATCTTGGAGTCCTCGTGGACAACAAGTTAAACATGAGCCAACAATGTGATCTGGCGGCAAAAAAAGCCAATGGGATTTTGGCCTGCATCAAGAGGAGCCTAGTGTCTAGATCTAGGGAAGTCATGCTCCCCATGCTCTATTCTGCTTTGGTTAGACCACACCTGGAATATTGTGTCCAATTCTGGGCACCACAATTCAAGAGAGATATTGACAAGCTGGAATGCGTCCAGAGGAGGGCGACTAAAATGATCAAGGGTCTGGAGAACAAGCCCTATGAGGAGCGGCTTAAGGAGCTGGGCATGTTTAGCCTGAAGAAGAGAAGGATGAGAGGAGATATGATAGCCATGTATAAATATGTGAGAGGAAGCCACAGGGAGGAGGAGGGAGCAAGCTTGTTTACTGCTTCCATGGAGACTAGGACGCAATGGCTTCAAACTACAAGAGAGGAGATTCCATCTGAACATGAGGAAGAACTTCCTGACTGTGAGAGCCGTTCAGCAGTGGAACTCTCTGCCCCGGAGTGTGGTGGAGGCTCCTTCTTTGGAAGCTTTTAAACAGAGGCTGGATGGCCATCTGTCAGGGGTGATTTGAATGCATTATTCCTGCTTCTTGGCAGGGGGTTGGACTGGATGGCCACAAAGATGTCGTTGTAGGCGTCTACTACAGACCCCCAAGCCAGGAGGAAGAACTTGATGAAGTCTTCTGCCAACAGTTGGCCAAACAGGCACAGAAAAGAGATGTAGTAGTCATGGGCGATTTCAACTATCCCGATATTTGCTGGAAAACAAACTCGGCCAAGAGTACAAGGTCCAACAAATTCCTCGCTTGCCTTGCAGACAATTTCATGGTCCAGAAGGTAGAAGAGGCAACAAGGGGATTGGCTACTCTTGATCTCATCCTAACAAATGCTGAGGACCTGATCGATGCGGTCGAAGTGGTAGGATCCTTAGGGGCAAGTGACCATGTGCTCCTGCAATTTGAGGTACAAAGGAAGGCCGAAACTAAGACAAGTCAAACCCGCATTTTGGACTTTAGGAGAGCTGATTTCCAAAAAATGAAGGAAACACTGAGCAGAATTCCGTGGACACAGATACTAAAAGACAAGGGAGTTACGGATGGATGGGAATTTCTCAAGAGTGAAATACTCAAGACGCAATTGCAAACCGTGCCAACAAAGAGAAAAAATAGGACAAGTGCAAAGAAGCCAGAATGGATGTCCAAAGAACTTCTAACTGTGCTAAGACACAAAAGAGACATGCACAAGAAGTGGAAAAAGGGAGAAATCACCAAAGAAGAATTCAAACAAATAGCCAACACCTGTAGGGAAAAGGTCCGCAAGGCTAAAGCAAAAAACGAGCTCAGACTTGCCAGGGACATTAAAAACAATAAAAAGGGCTTCTATTCTTATGTCAGTAGAAAAAGGAAAAACAAGGAGGCGATAGGACCTCTTCGCGGAGAAGATGGGGCAATGCTGACAGGGGATAGGGAAAAGGCAGAACTACTTAATGCCTTCTTTGCCTCGGTCTTCTCACAAAAAGAGAGTCTTCAACCTCAGCAAGATGGAGTGGATGAGGGATTGGAGGACATCCAACCCCAAATTGGGAAAGAAGTCGTCCAGGAATACCTGGCCGCTCTTAATGAGTTCAAGTCCCCAGGGCCAGATCAACTACACCCCAGAGTATTGAAGGAACTAGCGGAAGTCATTTCGGAACCATTGGCAACCATCTTTGAGAGTTCTTGGAGAACGGGAGAAGTTCCAGCAGATTGGAGGAGGGCCAATGTGGTCCCAATCTTCAAGAAGGGAAAAAAGGATGACCCAAACAATTACCGTCCGGTCAGCCTCACGTCGATACCAGGCAAGATTCTGGAAAAGATTGTTAAGGAAGTGGTCTGCAAACACTTAGAAACAAATGCAGTCATCACTAATAGTCAACATGGATTTATCAAAAACAAGTCATGCCAGACTCATCTGATCTCTTTTTCCGATAGAGTTACAAGCTGGGTAGATGCGGGGAATGCCGTGGATGTAGCGTACCTGGATTTCAGTAAGGCCTTGACAAGGTCCCCCATGACCTTCTGGCAAGGAAACTAGTCCAATGTGGGCTAGGCAAAACTACGGTGAGGTGGATCTGTAATTGGTTAAGTGGACGAACACAGAGAGTGCTCACTAATGCTTCCTCTTCATCTTGGAAAGAAGTGACAAGTGGAGTGCCTCAGGGTTCCGTCCTGGGCCCGGTCCTGTTCAGGATCTTTATTAATGACTTAGATGAAGGGCTAGAAGGCATGATCATCAAGTTTGCAGACAACACCAAATTGGGAGGGATAGCCAATCCTCCAGAGGACAGGAGCAGAATTCAAAACGATCTTGACAGATTAGAGAGATGGCCAAAACTAACAAAATGAAGTTCAACAGTGACAAATGCAAGATACTCCACTTTGGCAGAAAAAATGAAATGCAAAGATACAGAATGGGGGACAATGCCTGGCTCGAGAGCAGTACGTGTGAAAAAGATCTTGGAGTCCTCGTGGACAACAAGTTAAACATGAGCCAGGAATGTGATGTGGCGGCAAAAAAAGCCAATGGGATGTTGGCCTGCATCAAGAGGAGCCTAGTGTCTAGATCTAGGGAAGTCATGCTCCCCATGCTCTATTCCGCTTTGGTTAGACCACACCTGGAATATTGTGTCCAATTCTGGGCACCACAATTCAAGAGAGATATTGACAAGCTGGAATGTGTCCAGAGGAGGGCGACTGAAATTATCAAGGGTCTGGAGAACAAGCCCTATGAGGAGCGGCTTAAGGAGCTGGGCATGTTTAGCCTGAAGAAGAGAAGGCTGAGAGGAGATATGATAGCCGTATAAATATGTGAGAGGAAGCCACAGGGAGGAGGAGCAAGCTTGTTTTCTGCTTCCTTGGAGACTAGGACGCGGAACAATGGCTTCAAAATACAAGAGAGGAGATTCCATCTGAACATGAGGAAGAACTTCCTGACTGTGAGAGCCGTTCAGCAGTGGAACTCTCTGCCCCGGAGTGTGGTGGAGGCTCCTTCTTTGGAAGCTTTTAAGCAGAGGCTGGATGGCCATCTGTCAGGGGTGATTTGAATGCAATATCCCTGCTTCTTGGCAGAATGGGGTTGGACTGGATGGCCCATGAGGTCTCTTCCAACTCTATGATTCTATGATTCTATGCAGCATCTGTATTAATCAACTGACCTCTCTTTTGCATGATATTTAGTCCTGGCCTTGTCAGTGGCTATATGGCCTTGAAGGTGTCTACGGATAATGCCAGCTCTTTGGCTTTGAAAGGGAGATGAATGCCACCCCCCAGAGTCAGACATGACTAGACTTAATGTCAAGGGGAAACCTTTACCTTTTAGTTTTAGTAACTTTGTAAAACTTTGATACATTTACAGACATTTTGAAGATGCACCTGTCCTCTATCCCTAAGAAATGAATTGTAAACTGAGAATAATATTGGTGGTGGGGTGCGGAAAACTGACTTTTAGCTACATGTAGAGATGAGGGACGTGTCTGTTCTGATGTTCCATCAGATACTTCAAATTGTGTGTGTTTCCTCTCCATTTAGGGTAGCAGTTCTTCTGAAAAATCCAAATCCGTAGGATCATCCCGCTCCAAAAGGTTGGTGTGATGTGCCTTGTGCTTGTTTGAATTACCTGGTTCACTAAGGTCAGGGAGTTTGTTAAAGTGCTATACATGCATGTTCCTTATATCTTTGTGTCTTCTTCCCTTTTAGGAAACCCACAGTCGTAACAAAATATGTTGGCTCCGATGACGAACAAAATTTGGATGAATCCATGAATCAGGATGGCTCGAATGAAAACTCCGAAAATGAAGTAGACATGAAAAGCTTGCCGAAAGGTAAATGATTTAAAGTTGGCCAGGACACATGCATTCATTTATTTCAGTAGGTGTTAAAATCATATTTTTGTGAGCTTTTGGCTTCTCTTTTCCCTTTCCTTCCATTTTACGGCCACGGAAAGGTGATCAAAAATGTATCTCTTGTTGGGCGAGTGGGCTTATTAACAAAAGACCCTCCTCACAAATGTACAGCAGCGTAACGTAGCAGCATCAGTAGTCAAAAGTGATAAAAAGAACAAAAACACAGACCTAACTGGAGCAACTTACAGGGAGTGGTCAACCCCCCCTTGTTTAAGGAGCTCCATTGGCTGCCGTTCATTTTCCGGTCCCAATTCAAGGAGCAAGTTCTTACGTACAAAGCCCTGAACGGTTTGGGACCCGCATTTTTGTGTACGAACCCACGCGATCTCTTCATCTGGAGAGACCCTGCTCTCATTCCCGCCCCCTTCGCAGGCGCGATTGGTGGGGACGAGGGAGAGGGCCTTCTCTGTGGTGGCCCCCCGACTCTGGAACTCACTTCCTAAGGATATCAGGCAAGCCCCCACATTGGCAGTCTTTAGGAGGAGCCTGAAAACGTGGCTGTTCCAGTGTGCCTTCCCTGAATAAGGAAATAATTCCCAGCAAAATGTCCTCAGAAGCACTTTAACTACTCGTTGGATTGCTCTCCCTTCATTTTCCGGGAAGGCACACTGGAACAGCCACGTCTTCAAGCTCCTCCTGAAGACTGCCAGAGTTGGAGCCTGTCTGATATCTTTAGGGAGTGAGTTCCAGAGTCGAGGGGCCACCACCGAAAAGGCCCTCTCCCTCGTCCCCACCAAACGTGCCTGCGATGCTGGTGGGATCGAGAGCAGGGCCTCTCTGGAAGATTGAAGAGAATCAGGTTCAGGTTCACACGCAGGCTGAACCCCAACATTAACATTCTGAGACTGTGCGGCAGTGTCCTCCTCGTCGCCAGCTCCGCTGCTCCCCGCTCCTTCCTCGCCAGGCTGGGCACCAGACTTGGGCGCCCAGCCTTGAAAGAAGGGGCCTCTGGGGCGGGGAGCAGCAAAGCCCGGCAAGGAGGAGGATGCCGTGAAGTAGGGACACTCAGCTCACTTGAGTGGCCGGAGCGTCCCTACTTCACGGATTTTCCCTTATCACGGGTGCTCCTGGAACAGAACAGAATATGTGAGGGAACACTGTACATGTAAAAATAAAGTGGTTTTGTATTATGCCTGTTCTTACATCTACGTTTTATGATTTTGTGTCTGTGTCTATGATATATATATGTGTATAATGTAGGGGAGATTACTGCTCTGAGACTCATTTTTGGATCATTAAACTTTATTGGAGGGGAGGAAACCTGTAGATTCTGTGTTTCCTCATTAACATCTGGAGAAAAGCCTTATTCATATTAGTCAGCTTTTACAATGATTTGAGCCCTTTCTGCGTTGGCATGTGTGAAGCCATTCCCTGACTCCAAACGATTACATTCTTTAAAACTGGGATTCTGTATTTAATTTACTGTCTTAGGTACAGTAGTGGTGCAGCCAGAGCCAGTCCTTAATGAAGATAAAGATGACTTCAAAGGACCTGAATTTAGGAACAGAAATACTACTAAAATAAAATCCGAAACTCCAAAGAAGCGTGCAGGTAAATGCATCATGAATCACGTCCAGTAATGTGTTTACATTGTTCCATTTTGGTTATTAGAGCATGTGTCTTCCTGGCAGTTTCCACTGTGCATCTTTTCCAGCAGACAAGGGAGAAATCTATCTAAATAAAAATGCAATGTTCGTTTGTGGTATTCACAGAACTCAAAAACCACTGGGGGAATTGCACCAAATTTGGACACAAGACACCTAACAACCCAATGTATGTCCTTCACTCATAAAAACACTGAAAAACACAGCAGAAGGGACTTAAAAGCTCCCAAAAGCTAATGACAAAAAGCTAAATGACAATACAGAAAAAAGGAAGAAAGAGAGGGAAGGGGAAAAAAGAAAGAAAGAAAGAAAAGAAAGAGGGAGGGAGGGAAAGAAAGAAAGAAAGAAGGAAAGGAGAGAAAGATGGAGGGAAAAAAAGGGGAAGGAAAGAAGTAGAGAGGAAGGAAGGAGAGAAGGAAAGAAAGAAAGGGAAAGAAGGAAGGAAAGAAGGAGGAAGGAAGGGGGAAGATGTAGAGAAAGAGGGAGGGAAGGAAAAAGAAGGAAAGGGAAGAAAGAAAAGATAGCAGAAGAGAAAGAAAAGGGGGAAAGAAGGAAAGAGAGAAGGAAGAAGAGAAGGAAAGATGGGAAGGAAGAAGGAAGGAAGGAAAGAGGGCGTGAAGGAAGGAGGGAAAGATGGAGAGAAAGAGGGAAGGTTGACCACAGCAACGCGTGGCGGGTACAGTTAGTCTATATAAATAAAAATGCAATGTTCATTTGTAGGATTAATATAACTCAAAAACCACTGGACGAATTGACACCAAATTTGGACACAATACACCTATCAGGCCAATGAGTGACCATCACTCATAAAAATACTGAAAAACACAGCGGAAGAGACTTAAAAAGCTAAAAAATAAAAATACATTACAACTCATGCACAAAACCACATAAATATACGCAAACAGACATATATACACATATACACAAATATATACACACACATACACATATATACACAACACAAAACACATAATACACAGACTGGGACACAGCGACACGTGGCAGGGGATAGCTAGTTTAAGATAAGATTGTCCAACTCTGATTAAACCATTATTCTAATCTCCTTCAATGTAAATGTGCTTACGTATCCTTCCAATAATAATAAAAAGAGTAATTTAATAAACATAATAATAACAACAGTAATAGAGAGAAATAATGGAAATGTAATAATAATAGAGTAAAATAATAATCGTGGCATCATTAAGAAGTGCCGTTATGAAAAAAACGTTGTTCTCTACAAAATTCATATGTGTTTGGTAGCAGAAAATAATATTGCATTGATTCGATTTCCCTGCATTTTTGCAGAGGACGGACTCCACGGCATTGTGAGCTGCACTGCTTGCGGACAGCAGGTGAACCACTTCCAAAAGGATTCGATTTACAGGCATCCCACATTAAACGTCCTTATTTGCAAGGTATGTACATGTCTCGTGTGTAGTGTTTAAACCAGCGTTTCTCAACCTGGGGAAGGGTTGCAACCTCCCGTGTCAGAGGGGCCACCAGAGACCATCAGAAAACACAGTGATTTTTGTTGATCACGGGGGTTCTGTGTGGGAAGTTTGGCCCAATTCTATCATTGGTGGGGTTCTGAATTCTCTGATTATTTATACCCTGCCACCATCTCCCGAAAGGGGAGTTGAGGTGGCTTACATGGACTATAAATCCCAGCAACTACAACTCCCATATGTCAATGTCTATTTTCTCCAAAGAGATCTAGAATTGCCTGCACGCCCCTCCTATCCCTAAAATATCTATCCTATTTCACCTCATCATGCCCAGCACTTTTTAAAAAAGATTTTAAGTATTACATTTGGCCCTGCCACAGGTTTTAATGCAGTGTTATTGTAAATGTTTTTGCTTGGTTTATGAGTTTTTTGTGTTTTTTATTATTGTATTGTTGTTGTTGTTGTTGTGTTTTTCTGATGTATTTGGGCTCGGCCTCTTGTAAACCGCACCGAGTCCTTCGGGAGATGGTAGCGGGGTATAAATAAAGGATTATTATTATTATTATTATTATTATTATTATTATTATTATTATATTGAGCATCCGTACCAAGTTTCGTCTAGATCAGGGGTCCTCAAACTTTTTAAACAGAAGGCCGGGTGACAGTCCCTCAAACTGTTGGAGGGCCAGATTATAATTTGAAAAAAACATGAATGAGTTCCTATGCACACAGCACATATCTTATTTGTACTGCAAAACAAATTAAAAACAATACAATAATTAAAATGAAGAACAATATTAACAAATATATACTTATTAGTATTTCAATGGGACGTGTGGGCCTGCTTTTGGCTGATGAGATAGGATTGTTGTTGTTGTTGTTGTTGTTGTGTGCTTTCACGTCGTTTCGGACTTAGGTTGACTCTGAGTGGGTGCCAGGTATATGACCTTGGAGGGCCGTATGCGGCCCCCGGGCCTTAATTTGAGGACCCCTGGTCTAGATCCATCATTGTTTGAGTCCGCTGTGCTCTCTGGATGTAGGTGAACTACAACTCCAAAACTCAAGGTCAAAGCCCAGCAAACCCAGTATTTTCTGATGGTCATGGGAGTTTTGTGTGCCAAGTTTGGTTCAATTCCAACATTGATGGAGTTCAAAATGCTCTTTGATTGTAGGTGAACTATCAATCCTAGCAACTACACCTCCCAAATGACAAAATCAATCCTGCCCCAACCCCACCAGTATTCAAAATTAGTCATACTGGGTATTTGCGCCAATTGTGGTCCAGTGAATTAAAATATATCCTGCATATCAGGTATTTACATGATGATTCATAACAGGAGCAAAATTACAGTTATGAAGTAGCAATGAAAATAATGTTATGGTTGGGGGTCACCACAACATGAAGAACTGTATTAACGGGTCACGGCATTAGGAAGGTTGAGAAACACTGGTTTAGACTTCCAAATTACATTTATAGAATACATTCTCTGCTCGATTTTCTGCTTTCAGTAATAATGTTCAAATTGTGTGTGTAATTGAGCCAGTGAATGTGATGTAAAGTTTCTGAGAAAATAATCTTTTCTTTGCAGTCTTGCTTCAAATACTATATGAGTGATGATATCAGCAGGGATGCTGATGGAATGGACGAGCAGTGTAGGTAAGTATATAAAAATAACTTCTCTGGAATTGTATTTACTAGGGTTACAAGTGGCTAGTAAGGTCCCTTTTACCTTAACTAGTATTTAAAGAGTGCATGTTTGAATTCTTCCCTCATGGAGCAAACACTAAAATGTATTGTCGAAGGCTTTCATTGCCGGAATCACTGGGTGGCTGTAGGTTTTTTCGGGATATATGGCCATGTTCTAGAATGCCTCTAGAACATGGCCATATAGCCCCGAAAAAACCTACAACAACCCAAACACTAACATATTTTATTTCACTCTTCAGTAGTCGTGTCCATTCGTTTCATGTCCCAGCTTTCGGTGGGGCCCCCAATCCGTTTCTGCCAAACTTCTCGAAATCGGGAGGGCAGATATTTGTTTTCAGTTTTCAAGGCAGAAATATTTCTTTTCTTTCGACCCATTATTGGGAGGGCAGGGTATTCCCACCCATACTTGTATGGGGTTTGTCTCACCTTTATCTGGTGAGTTGAAGGGCTCCCTGGCTGAGGTTGAAGATCCATTGTGTTTGCTGCCGGGGGTCTTGCTCTGCAACCCAAAGCGTAGGCCCAAAGCACCCAGGCCTGCAGCTGAACGCTGAGAAAGACGCGGTCCCTACTCTGTGCTCGGCTGTAGGACCAAGCGCTTTGGGCCTATATGCGCGGCAATCAATACGAAAGGAAGCTTGGAGTTGGTACCTATTCCCGCCTTCCTTTCGTATCGAGTTTATTTTCATTCCAGGAGAGGCCTTCCCGTTCCGTGCCATCCGGAAGGATGGAATGAAACTAATAATAATAATAATAATAATAATCCTTTATTTATACCCCGCTACCATCTCCTGAAGGACTCGGTGCAGCTTACAAGAGACCAGGGCCCAACACATCAATAAAACAACAGCATGACAAATACAACAATAAAACTCATAAAACAAGCAATAAACATTAAAACAATAGCAATAAACATTAGACAATAACACCACGATGCATTTAAAACTAAGGCCGGGCCAAATGTAATGATTAACATTTTTAAAAATGCTGGACATGACAGATGAAATGGATAGGTTTTTGGAGATAGGTGCAGCGTGCAGACAATCTTAAATCTCTAGTAAAGTGCATTTGGGACATGATGCTTGGAGTTTCCTATTCTGGGAAGGCACACTTGGAACAACCACGTCTTCAAGCTCTTCCTAAAGACTGCCAATGGGGCTTGTCTGATATCCTTGGGGAGAGAGTTCCAGAGTCGGGGGACCACCACGGAGAAGGCCCTGTCCCTCGTCCCCACCAATCGCGCTTACGACGCAGGTGGGATCATAAGCAGGGCCTCTCCAGATGATCGAAGAGATCGTGTGGGTTCATGTGGGTTGCGCTTCTCCCTGTTGTATTTGTGACCTGCAAATCTCCTTCCCCACACTACCTTGAATGGTGCCTGTCTCTTCCGGAACCCCTCCCTCTCCCTGGGAATTAGATTCCGTGGCTAGTCAGCTCTCAGCAAGGTGGGAGCTCAGTTGTGGGCTACCCTGAAACAAAAACGCGATTCAAACTGATGAAACAGTTACCAGGCCCATGACTACTTTGCAGTTAGTCTTAGTGCCTTCTGATAACAGGCAACCTCCCAGGTAAAAAAAATTGACCCTTTTTACGCAAAAAGCACTAGCCATCCGCGAGAAGATGGAAGCAGAGAGAGGTGACCTTGCTGCCATCAACAAAATTCAAACTTAAAAACTTAATATGGACATGCCACTAGTTTTACCTACCCGCGCCCCTGCCCAAACCCTACTTTAAGGAATTAATCAATTTTTATTCTTTTTATCTTGTAGTTGCACAATTATTTAGGAGTGGGTTGACAGGCCAGTAGTCCAGGATGCCTTGTATTCATATATGGTTTTACTGTGTGTATGGGCAAATGCGTATGTTTTGCATGTTTTGATATGGTCAAAATTGACTAATCAATAAAGAATTGTTGTTGTTGATAGGGATAATGTGAACATAAGATGCGGAACCTTAATTGCAAAGGCACCAGTAGCACTGTCCTGTCAGAACAACCCTTGCAATGAGATGGTGGGCTCATGCGCTCAGGCATCTTGAGAAATGATCTCCATTTGTTTTTAAACCTGTCTCGACTTTCCTTCCAGGTGGTGCGCTGAAGGTGGGAACCTCATTTGCTGCGACTTTTGCCATAACGCCTTCTGCAAAAAATGCATCCTGCGGAACCTGGGCCGGAGGGAGCTGTCGGCCATCATGGACGAGAACACGCAGTGGCACTGCTACATTTGCCACCCGGAGCCCTTGCTGGACTTGGTCACGGCTTGCGACAGCGTGTTTGAGAACTTAGCCCAGTTGTTGCAGCAGAACAAAAAGAAAATCAGATCGGAGAGCGACAAAAGTAAAATGTATGACCACACACTGAAATATTCCTCAAAGAAAAATAGCTCAAGCTGTAATGGCGAAGAAAAGAAAGCGGACCATCCGTATGCTGGCTCTATAAACTATTCATACAAAGCATTAATGGTGCCAAAAGACCTGCTGAAAAAGACAAAAAAACTGGTAGAAACAACCACTAACATGAACGCTAGCTTTGTCAATTTTCTTAAAAAGGCAGCTGAAAACTCTGAAATAAACTCCACAATCCACTTGCGTCAACTCAAGGCTTTTAAATCGGTGTTGTATGACCTCAAAAAGACCCACGCAGCTTTGGAGGAAGGTCTCAATCTGGAGATTGAAGCTCTAGGTGTTAAAATAAGGAGGAAAGATACCAAAGAGAAGGGACGCGAGGCTAAATTGGCTGGCGGTGAAGCAAAGAAGACCGAAGAAAAGGAACCCAAGGAGCAGAAAGCCACCTCCGAGGCAGATGAGCAGAATGTATCCGCAGCAGAACAAACGGCAAGCAAAAAGTCTGTTTCCAGAGAGAGAAAAAGTGGGAAAAGTGATGATCTTCAGTACGAACCCAATAGCACAGAGGCCTCCGATATGGATATTGTGTCTGTCCCCTCCTCTGTTCCCGAAGACATTTTTGAGTCTTGCATGGAAGCGCAGAAAGCAGGGGAGCTGGGAGCAGCAAACACGAATGCGAGACCAAAGGACAGCAAGGGAGGGGCGAAGCAACAAGTGCCGTCGGCGAAAGTCAAAAAGGAATTGGTGGTGAAGCTGACTCCCGTTTCCCTCAGAGATTCTCCTGTGAAGTCTGACGATCCAGATGGAAAGTCGGAGAAGGAAGAAGACGGAACAGACGGTCTTGAAACTGACCATCCAGCCGAAAACGAGGTCGTCTCGGTGGTGGAAGATCATGACCTCAGGAGGTCTCCGCGAGTTAAAACCACCCCTCTGAGACGCCCGGCGGATGTCAAAGCCTTAACATCTAACTCTGAAGAGGAAGGCAACGGTGCCTACAGTGAAAGACATAGAAGAATGCCGGCCAAGTCCAAGAGGAAAAGTGACCAGCAGAGTTCTCCTGATTCCTCTCTTAGTCACCCTAATGCGCTGAGTGAGACTGACAAACCGGACGCAGCGGACCTCAGTTCCGATTCCGACGAGGTGCCGGCGGTCCTCCAAGAAGTGGCCATGATGAGCCACAGCTCTTCAGACGCCGACAGCCACTGCGAAACGTCAAAGGAGCCCCTGAGTGCTGCAAAGAGAGAGCCCACCAAGGAGGACAACGGGAAGCGGAAAAGGAAAAATTCCAGTTCCGGGTCAGACTTTGATGCCAAAAAGGGCAAATCAGGTCAAGAGTTAGCGGCGGCGAAAAAGAAGCGGCAGACCCGCTCAGAGTCTTCTAATTGCAATTCTGGGGCAGAGCGGGAGTCCAAAACGGAGTCTTCCGGAAAAGTGACGAAAAAGAGCCCCAAGAGCGAAGATGAGGAAAAACTAACCAAAAAGGGGAAAAAATCAGAGCAGCTGGAGGAGGAGGATGAGGTATGCAATGAAGCTGACAACGTGGAAGATCCTTCTCCAGGTGAAGAGAAGCCAGGTAGTGCTTCGGAAGAGGAAGCTGCGGAAGCCAAGGGAACGAGGGATGTGAAAGAGAGACCTTCCAAAGGCAAGCAGAAAGATACTGAAGAGCCTGCCGTTTCCAGCAAGAGAAGCAGGAAGGCAAAAGAAGAAGGGCAGGAGCTTTCTTCAGATGGGAGTCGAGAGCGGAGTGGCGAGTCCTCAGACGATGTGGGGAAGAAGGCGAAGAAAAGCCCCAAAGGAAAGAGCATGGGCCAAAGGAAAGGCGACTCCTCTTCTGAAGCGGACAAGCCTGAAAAGGAGACCTCCAGCGCTTCCGGAAGTAACACCAAGAAGCAGAGCCCTCCTGAGGAGAAGGTGAAAAGGGCCCTGAGGGAGCGCGCCCCCAAGAAGGCCCCGGACCAGGCTTCTGAGGCCGTGAAGTCTCCCCAGAACGACACTTCGGAAGACAACCTAACGAAGAAAAGAGGAGTCTCCAAAGAAAAGAAAAAAGCCGCCCCCAAAAGGAAGAACTCCAAAAAAGCAAGTGGCGACTTGCTGTCGTCTTCTGACGAAGAGTCCTACGAGGAGAAAAAGACCAAAAAGAGAGGGGCGGCCGCTAAGCGAAACAGGAAAAGCGGTCAGGACAAGAAGCAGAAGACTGCGGGGAAGAAGACGAAGACAGAGGCCGCCAGCAGCACCACGACTTCGTCATCGTCCAACGATGCCGAAGAAGACGCCAATTCCAGCGGTGCAGAGAGCAGCGACAAGCAGAAAATCAAGCCCTTGACGGAAAGCCTGTTGCCGCCGACCAAGCTGGGATTCTGTCAATCTTCAGGTGTGCAACTTATTTCACATTTGAGAGTTGTTATGAGTTTAAAACAGTGGTTCTCAACCTGGGGATCGGGACCCCGAGGGGGTGTCAGAGGGGTCGCCAAAGACCATTAGAAATCACTGTATTTTCTGTTAGGCATGGGGGTTCTGTGTGGGAAGTCTGGCCCAATTCTATTGTTGATGAGGTTCAGACAGGGGTGGCTCAACCATTACGCAAAGTAAGCATTCGCAGTACAGTTGATTTTGCCCAGGAGCGCTCTTGAGGTGCTCCTGGGGGAAAATAGACCTTGACATATGCGAGTTGTAGTTACTGGGATGTATAGTTCACCTACACGCAAAAAGCAACTCACCAATCCCCTGGTTGGGCCATCTTATCCGGCACTGAATTCTGAGTCGCTTTCAGGAAAGGGAAAAGCTATGCATCACAAATGCTGAACCGGACTTCACATACACAGGGGCGGCTCAACCATTACGCAAAGCCTTTGCAGTATAGTTGATTTTGCCCGGGGGCGCTCTTGAGGCGCTCTTGGGGGAAAATAGACCTTGACATATGCGAGTTGTAGTTACTGGGATGTATAGTTCACCTATAATCAAAGAGAATTCTGAACTCCACCAATGATGGAACTGAACCAAACATGGCACACAGAACTCCCATGACAAACAGAAAATATATATCAGTGATTGGGGGGGAAGGGGGGGGCGGGGAATACTGTTTGCTTACAGTTGAAAATTACCTAGGGCCGCCTCTGGGTTCAGAATATTCTTTGATTGTAGGTGAACTATAAATCCCAGCAACTACAGCTCCCAAATGTCAAGGTCTATTTTCTCCAAACTACTAGTGTTCACATTTGAGCACATTGAGTATTTGTGCCAAGTTTGGTCCACATACATCATTGTTTGAGTTCTGGATGTAGGTGAACTACAACTCCAAACACAAAGTCAATGCCCACCAAACCCTTCCAGTATTTTCTCTTGTTCATGGGAGTTCTGTGTGCCAAGTTTGGTTCAATTCCATCGTCAGTGGAGTCCGGAATGCTCTTTGATTGTAGGTGAACTATAAATCCCAGCAACTACAACTCCCAAATGACAAAATCAATCCCTCCCAACCCCACCAGTATTCAAGTTTGGGCGTATCAGGTATGTGTGCCAAATTTGGTCCAGTGAATGAAAATACATCCTGCATATCAGATATTCATATGACAATACATAACAGTTGCAAAATTACAGTTATGAAGTAGCAATGGAAATAATTTTATGGTTGGGGGTCAACACAACATGAGGAACTGTATTAAGGGGTCGCAGCATTAGGAAGGTTAAGAACCACTGATTTAAAACTTTTTTTCCACTTTTTCAAATTGTACTTCCAGTGGTTGTGGGGGGGGGGGGGGCGTGCAATTTCAATAATAAAACTGCATGGCCACGTCCCCTCCTCCTCCTGGCGGGGAAACAGCCGGCCGTTAAAGCCAGGTGCGCGTGCATGGCCACACACACACAAGCGAGAGTGAAGTGGGGTGGAGGCTTGCCACATGGAGCCCCTTCTCTTTCCCTGCTATGTCAGTAGGACGGTCTCCTCCTCCACCTTTCCCTATTGGAAGAGGAAGGGGCGGATGAGTGGCAGCGGCAGCAGCGGAGCCCCCAGGCAAGGAAGAAGAGGGGGAGGAGGAGGAGAGGAAGGTCGACGGTATTTGAGTGAAGGACTTTCCTTCTCTCCCTCAATCACTTCCCTTCTTTCCTTCCTTTTCTTCCTTCCTTCCCCTTCCTTTCATTCTTTCCCTCCTTTCCTTCCTTCCTGTCCCTCCTTCCTTCTTCCTTTCCTTCCTCCCTTTCCTCCTTCTTTCCCTTTCTTCATTTCCTTCCCCTCATTTCCTTCCCTCCCTCCTTTCTTCATCTCCCTCTTTCCTTTACCTCCTTCCTTCCTTCCTTCTTCCTCCTTCTCCTTCCTTCCTTCCTTCCTTCCTTCCTTCCTTCCTTCCTTCCTTCCTTCCTTCCTTCCTTCCTGTCCCTCCTTTTTTCTTTTCCTTCCCTTCTTTCCCTCCCTCCCTTCCTTTTTCCTTCCTTCCTGTCCCTCCTTCCTTCCTTCTTCCTTTCCTTCCTTCTTTCTATGTAAGATATAAATACAATATTAAATGGAAGGGGCAGTCAAGAAGTAATGAGAGAAGGAGGGAAAGAGGGAAGGAAGGAAGGAGAGAAGGAGGGAGGGAAAGAAGGAAAGAAAGAAAGAAAGAAAGGAGAGAAGGAACAAAATATGAAGGAAGGAAGGAAGGAAGGAAGGAGAGAAGGAGAGAAAGGAGAGAAAGGGGGAAGGAAGGAAGGAGAGAAGGACAGAGGGAAAGAAGGAAGTAAGGAAACAAAGGTAGAGAAGCAAGGAAGGAGAGAAGGAAATAAAAAGTGAAAGGAAAAAGAGGGAAGGAAGGAGGAACGAAAGATAGGGAAGGAAGGAGAGAAGGAGGGAGGGAAAGAAGTAAAGAAAGAAAGTTAGAGAAGCAAGGAAGGAGAGAAGGAAATAAAAAAGTGAAAGGAAAAAGAGGTAAGGAAGAGGAAGGAAGGAAGGAAGGAGAGAAGCAGAGAGGGAAAGAAGGAAAGAAAGAAAGAGAAGCAAGGAAGGAGAAAAGGAAATAAAAAAGTGAAAGGAAAAAGAGAGGGAAGGAAGGAGAGAAGGAACAAAAGATAGGGAAGGAAGGAAGGATGTAACCAAAGAGCAAAGAAGAGGAAAGAAACAGGTAGAGAGTGGAAGAAAGAAGAGAAATAGGGAAAGATAAAGAGGAAAGGAAGGAAAGAGGGAAGGAAGGAGAGAAAGAGGGAGGGAAGATTGGCCACAGCAACACGTGGCGGATACAGCTAGTATTAACTAAATACATGGAAGAAAGATTAAAATACAGTAAACACAAGACTGTTGGGGTTCAGCCTCCGTGTGAACCTGACCCTCAGCCTCCGTGTGAATCTGAACCTGATTCTATGATTGTATTTCCTGATGCAACTGAACATGTAGTTTTCCCTGATGGTTTGGAAACTGTTGATTCTGAGGGCAGTGGCTGGGAAAGTGAAACTAAACATCCTGATGAGGATGTTTCAGAGTCAAGTGGTGATAACTCTCCAGAGGAGTTAACACCTGCCTTTTTAAATGAGGATAGAAGAAGGCAGATTTGGGAAAACAGGAGTGAATCACAGAGTCTGCGAAGGTCAAGTAGATTAACGCAGAAGGAGGCTTCCAAGCCTGGAGGTGTGTCCCGAAACAGTTTCTTTAGTTTAAAGTGTCTCCCCCCGGGCTGTCTTGTTAGATCACACATCGTTTAGACCAGTGTTTCTCAACCTTCTGAATGCCGTGACCCCTTATTACACTTCCTCATGTTGTGGTGACCCCCAACCATAGAATTATTTTATTGCTACTTCATAACTGTTATTTTGCTACTGTTATGAATTGTAATGTAAATATCTGATATGCAGGAGCAGGCCCGTAGCCAGGATTTTGATTTGGGGGGGGGGCTGAGTTTGAGGGGGGGGCTGAGTCTGAGTGAAGGAGGATCTACCCTAGCAAACCTTTTGTATCGTTACCCCAATACCCCCATGCATATGGGATATATTGAGTATGGTGATCAGATCATGATATGAATAAACGTAACAGTTTTAATAATGTACCAGTAAGGCCTTCTCGTGGACCACCATGAGAATTTCAGGGGGGGGGGGCTGAAGCCCCTCAAGCCCCCCCGCCCTTGGCTACATGCTTGTGCAGGAGATATTTTCATTTGGCACAAAAATCCGATTTGAATATTATTGGGCTTGATTTGGTCATTTGGGAGTTGTAGTTGTTGGGATTTATAGTTCACCTACAATCAAATAGTATTCTGAACTCCACCAATGACCAACAGAAAATACTGGATGTCTTTGGTGGGCACTGACCTTGAGTTTTGGAGTTGTAGTTCACCTACACCCAGAACGCACTGTGGACTCAAACAATGAGGGATCTGGACCAAACTTGGCACAAATACTCAATATGCCCCAATGTGAACACTGGTGGAGTTGGAGGAAAATAGACTTTGACATTTGGGAGTTGTAGTTGCTGGGATTGATAGTTCACCTACAATCAAAGAGCATTCTGAACTCCACCAGTGATAGAATTGGTCGAAACTTCCCACACAGAATCCCCATTAGCAACAGAAAATACTGTGTTTTCTGATGGTCTTTGGTGACCCCTCTGACACCCCCTCGCGACCCCCCCAGGGGTCCTGACCCCCAGGTTGAGAAACGCTGGTTTAGACTGAGGCATTACCTTGGCTGAGTTCCCGTTTCCCATGGCCTGCATTCCCAGAGGCTTCTAGTTCCAAGTACGGTTAGTGAGATACTAACAGGTCCCGGGTTTTCTATAGTGTTGCGTTTGGAATTTTGATCTAGTTCAGAGATTTTCCTGACGGCTGAGTTTTACTGTGGTTTTTTGACTTTGCATTTTCCTCTATTTTGTAACCATTTTTTCATCAATAAAAAAGGATTGTTTTTCCCACAAAACCAGAGGTACTCAACACACAGCCCTGTGGTGTCCCAGGGTTGCGAGTGAGAACCGAAGAGGTATGATTACATAATCTACCCTTCTGGAAATGTCCAGACAAAAATACATAATTCAAGAAGAGATTGAATATGAGAATCCAGGATCCATAAGTTTAGACATCAGTCTAAACTTATGGATTTAATCTTATGGTCTTGTTTCCTGATCTGGGTTGCAACAAAATTGACAGTTGAAAGCAGACCGCATCTTCAGTCCTGAAAGAGATGCTTTTAGCTATTGTAAGAAGCAGATTCTTAGTAGTGATTATTGTTTTTGTTGTGATTTCTCCATGCAACGAGAGTTCCTTTCGTGCCAGATTTATACCCCTTTTTCCTTTCTTTCTCCCTGAAGGTGATGAAGGCGAAACCAAGCCGGCCGCTGTGCCGATGGAGGCGGAGGAAGATGACGACGATGACGACGATCCCGAGAATAGGTATGATTCCGACCGTAAGGACCTTAGCAAGGTTGTGAGACCCCCTAGGCGCAGGTGCACACCAGCGCAACGGAGCTGCAAGCAGGTTGTAGAAACCCGAAGTCCCTGCCTGGTCCAGACTCGCTCCCAGGCTGCCCGCAAGTTTGAACGAGGGGCCAGAAAGCAAGCCCCTAAATCTGGGCATGAAAAGAAAACCAGAAAATAGATTCAAGTATTAACACTCACACACGCCTTGCGTAGGGTGTGTTATAAATGTCCGTTCTGGGATTTCCATGTGAAATGTAGATTTTGTGTAACTTGTACATTCAGTCTCATTTGGGAGCAGAGGGGGGGAACCGGTTTCTTACTTAATGGCTGCCCAAAGAAGTAAGATTGACAAAATTTTTGTTCTGCATCTCAACGATGTTTCCAGTTGATGCATGAACTGGTTCTGATGAAAATATAGGACCATAATGTCCCAAATATTCACTCCATAACTTTGAAAGTGAATATCTGGTGACATTTGGCAACATAAACAGAGTTCCACTTCCCTTGAGTGACGCTTTATTGGTGGGGTTTGGATTTAAGTCCATATGTTGATGTAAACATGTGGGTCAGTGTACTTTTTTTTCACTGTGTTAAAGCAGTGGTTCTCAACCTGTGGGTGTTTTGGTCTAAAACTCCCAGTTTAGGATTTTGGGGAGTTGAAGCCCAAAATATCTGTGGACCCACAGGTTGAGAACCATTGTAGTTCAAGAATTTAGGGTCACAGGCCAGTTCTGTAGTTATGTAAACCAAATGGAAAAAATAATAATAAAAGAGAATAAGGGTTTTTAATTTAAAGTTTGATTACCCTCCTAAATGGATGGATGCACTTATAAGTAAGCCTTGTTGGACCCAGTGGGGCCTATTTTTGCAGAAGTTTCTTTTTGGGTGTGCTCTTCTTGCATGGATCAAAGGCAAATGTTGGTGTCTGGTGTTGGTTTCTTTTGTAAGAACTACAGTAGAGTCTCGCTTATCCGACCTTCGCTTATCCGACATTCCATCTTATCCGCCCCCTTTTCTTTTTTTTTCTTTTTAAAAAAATTTCTTTTTATACTTTTTCGACACAAAAATAGTACCATTACATACAATCATTGTTAGAAATTCAGTTGCTAAATTACATTATGAATACATATCACATATCTCATATTGCTTTCCTAATGCTCTTACCTGTCTCCCTTTCACCTTACCCTTGTGTCTGACAGTTTTACTCCCCTCCTCCCCCTCCCCTCAGGGAACAGTATTTACCTTAATTCAGATCTTAATTTAATTGAACAATTGTAAAAAGAGAATGGTTTAGCACATTATATCTTTTTTTTCCTTCCACTTTTTCGATCAGTCTTTCCCATTTCTGCACCCAAGTTTTCTTAAATCGGCATGTTGTGTATTTGTATTATTATTTATTTATTTCGAGGTTTTATATACCGACCCTCTCACCTTCAAAGAGGGATTCGGACCGGTTCACAACATGTGTTAACATACAAAGAATATACAATAACAACACAATGCCACTTCATTGCACGATTAAAATATCAGCACCATACACATTAAAACATTATCATCACAGTTAAAAGAGCCAAATCGTCCAGCACCATCACACTCCCATTCATCATCCTCCTTTCGTGTGGGCAAAGAATTAAATCAGTTGTCAAATGCCGCGTTCCGCAACCAGGTCTTTGTTAGTTTCCTGAACGTCATGAGGGAGGGAGCAGTTCTGATCTCTAATGGCAGGGAGTTCCAAAGTCGAGGGGCCACCATCGAGAAGGCCCTGTCCCTCGTCCCCACCAGCCGTGCTTGTGCAGGCGGTGGGACCGAGAGCAGGGCCCCTCCAGACGATCTTAGTGGTCTTGATGGTTCGTAGGGGAGAATACGTTCTTTTTTCATGGATATAATCCTGAAGCATATATTCTGCTAAATACTCATACCATTTTTAACCTTTCTATAATCTTTCCACCCCAACGCCACAGTTGCTTGGGCAGCTAATATCATATATTTTATAATTTCCTCCCAGGCTTTGATATTATCTTTTTTGTCAAATTTCTGTGTAAAAAATTCTATTTTATTCAAAGCCAGTTTATATCCTATTATTTCTTCCATTTCATTCATTACCTTGTTATAGAACTCTTGTACTCTATCACAATCCCACCACATGTGGGAATAGGAGCCAATTTTCCCACATTTATGCCAACAAAGTTTTGTGGTAGTTTTTTGTCATCTGGGCTATTTTAATTGGGGTTCTATACCATTTAGTCAATAATTTCCTTTGCGTTTCTCTAATCTTTATATGCTTAATATTTTTAATTGAATCAATCCAGTTTTCTATTTCTGAAACTTTATTATTTAAATCATCTTTCCATATTTCTATCAAAACTTGTTTTAAATTATATGGTATTCCAATTAATTTCCGTCCCCCCTTTTCCTCCCGCATTTCCCGTTCAATTAAAGGAGCGCTCCCCAACTCTCTCTCCATTCCAAATAAATGAAAAAGGCAAAACGAGGAGGAGGAAGGAGAAGGAAAGGGGGAAAAGAGGCAGAACCGGAAGCAGAAGTGTCCTCCCTCCTTCCCTCTGTTGATTCCCACGCTCCTCTTCCGCATTATCCGGGCATTTCCTGCAGGGCCGCTCTAGCCCCGAGGCATTGCCATGCCTTTAACCCTTTGAGTCCCTGTTGTTAGGTGTCTAGCGCTGCGTTATTATCCGACATTTTCATTTATCCGACATTTTCATTTATCCGACATTTTCATTTATCCGACATTTTCATTTATCTGACATTTTCATTTATCCGACGTTTTCACTTATCTGACGTTTTCATTTATCCGACATTTTCATTTATCCGACATTTTCATTTATCTGACATTTTCATTTATCTGACATTTTCATTTATCCGACGTTTTCACTTATCCGACGTTTTCATTTATCCGACGTTTTCATTTATCCGACATTTTCATTTATCTGACATTTTCATTTATCCGACATTTTCATTTATCCGACATTTTCATTTATCCGACATTTTCATTTATCCGACATTTTCATTTATCCATCATTTTCATTTATCCGACATTTTCATTTATCCGACATTTTTATTTGACATTTTCATTTATCCGATGTTCTGCCGGCCCGTTTATGTCGAATAAGCGAGACTCTACTTTTATTTATTTTTTTGAGGAAACTAACTACTTCTGCAAACTCAGTACGGCGATTTGGAAATGGGGTGTCTTTGACAATGATAAATATACCCTATTATCTAGGGGAGGGATAAGAATCCCTTGTTTGATAAATATACACTATTATCTAGGGGAGGGGGAGGGATAGGAATCACTTGTTTGATTGGTTTTTAATTAGAAAAAAAACCAAAACCTTTTCTTCCTTTGTTTTCCTTTCCTTTTTGGTTTGTACCTAAAGTGAATATTAATGCTTAACTTGGGTACAGACAAGAATGCTGCTAATCTAGCTGTTACTTGTGCTTTGCAAATATTTAATACTGAATGCTAATACTTTTCTTGGTGATTAAGAGTATAGAACAGGCATGGGAAGACTCTGGCCCTGGGGGTGTTTTGGACCGCAACTCCCACAACAGGTTAGAGCAGTGGTTCTCAACCTGTGGGTCCCCAGGTGTTTTGGCCTACAACTCCCAGAAATCCCAGCCAGTTTACCAGCTGTTAGGATTTCTGGGAGTTGAAGGCCAAAACATCTGGGGACCTACAGGTTGAGAACTACTGGGTTAGAGCTTTCTGGTGGCATGACACTCCCTGCCTAAAACTTACTAATAAAATTACAGTGTATTGTCGAAGGCTTTCATGGCCGGAATCACTGGGTTGTTGTAGGTTTTCTGGGCTATATGGCCATGTTTTAGAGGCATTTTCTCCTGACGTTTCGCCTGCATCTATGGCAAGCATCCTCAGAGGTAGTGAGGTCTGTTGGAAGTAGGAAAATGGGTTTATATATCTGTGGAAAGACCAGGGTGGGACAAAGGACTTTTGTCTGCTGGAGCTAGGGTTTTTTTGTTTTTTTAATTGTTTTATTGGTTTTTCCCACTCCCACCCTCCCCTCCTTGTACATGCAATTTATACATCAAACTACAGAAGTTACATTTGAAATATCAGTCTCAGTCTTAATTTTTCTACTCCACATCTTAACACATTCTCTAAATAATTCCTAACTGGTTCCCACATCCTTTTAGTTATTGTGACCTTTTCAATTTTATCTATGTTATTCCATTTACAATGTGTTATTTCCACATTTAACATATTAACTATATAGTTATACCAATTAGTCAGTGTCCATTTTGTTTTATCCTTCCAACCCCTCACTAATACAATTTGTGCACATGCTATTAATTTGTCAACCGTTTTTTCCTTTTGTATATTCTTCGTTCCTGTTATCCCTGCATGTAGTACATTTCTATTAATTATTACTATTTGCAAATTTAACATTCTATTGATTTCCCCTTCAATCCGTTTCCAGTATTCTTGCACTTGATCACATTCCCGTATCATAAGATTAAACACCCCTCTTTGTTCACAACCATGCCAACACCTTTCTTTGATCCCTGGTACAAAGTGTGAAAGTTGTGCAGGAGTTCTGTACCATTTTTGTAACATTTTCCTTCTAGCTTCCCTTAATACATTATACTTTTCTTTTGCTATATTACCTATTTGCCTTTGGATGTCTTTCCTCTCAATTTCCATGTCCAATCTCCATGTTTGGAAAATTTCCTCTATTATTTCTTCCTTTACTGTTGTAATTTGGTCGTACAGATTTCGTGCCACTTTCTTCTCCCCTCTCAAACATTTCCTAATCACCTTCTCAAATGAACTATCCTATTCTCTAATTTTTCCCCTCCGTCTAAAGATTTCTTGTCTTATAGCCCAGCTTTGAATCCAATTCTCTGACCCTATCCAATTCTGAATTTCTTTTTGTTCTACGGGGTTTCCATCCTCTGTATATAGATCCTCTACTAACCTTTTCCCTCTACTTTCA